ATTCATTATTTATTCACCTTTTTAATTTAAATAAGATATTTATTCATACAAAAAAATATTTAAAAATAATAAATACACCCTAATTAATACCCACCCCTACACCTGCCTATCGACATGATTATCTTATCCCATTGCTTTTGCTTTTTTTATTTCTTTTCTTCCCCAAAAAATATATGCCTTTTGCTTTTGGGATCTAAAATGCTACTCGCTTGTTGATTTCTAATAAATTTAATTTAAGTTTTTATTTTTTAAATAAAAATTTTAAATAAAAATTTAATATATTATATAAATAATAATTAAATCTTTTATTAAATAAAAATATTTAACAAAAATTTTATATAAAATTTTTTAATTATTGTTTACATCCATTTTTGCAAAAAAATAAAATGATACCATGTGTCATGCATGTTGGTACGAATTTCATTGGTTGAAAATTATTGGAGTAAATCTCTCTAAATAAGGTTAAGTGGTTATTTCCACAACTGAAGCGAAATTGTTAGTTTATTGCGAACTTTCATGAGAGTAATTGACAGAATCAATAGAATAATCAGTTTATTTCAGATTTCATGCTGCCGTTGACTTTCAAGTTGCTATCACAGATTTCCAAGCATGCTGCCAAGGGGTGTTTACTGTTATAAAGATGCAAAGAAGAAACGAAACAAAGGGACCAGTCTCTCACACAATTAGCCCAACGCTATCTATATTTTAATTTTATAAATAATGTTTTAATTTAGATCCAACTTTCTTAAACAGCTTTTCTAGTTAAGTTTTTAACCCTACGCAACCATTAGTTTTAGCTCTAGTTTTTGTTATTTCATTGTGAACATCTCCACTTAATGTATTTAGTTTTTTGCAATTTAATTTATTGCATTTTTGCCCAAAATTCATCTTTTTAATTTCTTTTAAGTTTAGTTTTATACTTCAATTTTTATTTTGTTTTTTACGTTTTTATGCTTTCGCAACAGCATCATGCTTCCTTTTTGCAATTTAGTTTTTCTGCCATGCACTCTCTTTTTTCTCATTTCCTTTATCTTTCTCTTTTATTTCGATCAGCAAACTAACATTTTGGCCATAGTTGTGGAAAGTCCCTGATGTTCTTCTATAGCAATTATTTATGGACCTTTATGCATGATGCACCCCCATTTCTGCGACAATCGTCTGATCAGGACGCATTTCATAATTTATTTAACCGGTGCTTTTTCATTGACTCACAATTGAGTTCTATGCTTGAAAGTAGTGAGGGTCACCGATAATCCATCTTTCTCACTTTGAGCAAAGTGAGTGGTACACTTTTACAATCTTATCTGCCACATAATTGAAAAGAGAAATTTTGGAGACAACAATTATTTTTTATATAAATTATTAAATTTTTATTTAAAATTTATACTAAAAATTAAAAAATTAAATTAGATCCGTTTATTTAATAAATGGACGAGTAGTATTGGTCAAATTTGGGATCCCGCCTCTAAATTACACTAATTTAGTTTGATTGATGTGTACTAATCTAAGTTTGTATGATGATCTTTGATCATGTTATTTATATGATCAAAATAATTACATGGCCAAAAAAAAAATTTATATGGTCATCTTTAATCATGTCAGAACACTGCATGTTTTTCCCTTCAATTATAGGACACGTCAACCAAAATGCACTTTTAAATAATGGGACGAATGGATTGGATGTGGAAATTTCTGGTGGGCTTGGTCATGTTGTTGGGCCGGTTCGTTCATTAATGGTGTTCGGTTGGTGCAAAATTTTGATGGGTGTGCCGAAGGAAAAATTATCTCGTAAATGGAAAGGTGACCGAAAATGTGGGTGGATTGGGTCGTTGAGTTTGCTGTGTAAATTGTGTAATTTGTTGATACGGAAAATTTGTTTCGTCGAAAGAAACATGTGACGAAATAATCAGTTTATGAGTTGCCAGATATAATTAACTAAATATCCCTTCTGGTGCGCATGAGTACCCAAAGAAAAGACACAGTAGTTCTGGAGCGAATTTATAGGAGAGGAGTGCTAGGGGCACTCGCCTTCTGCACTCTCCGGCAAACACTTTCACTTTTATTGAGTCACATTATTCTGATCGGTGAGAGGTTGCACTCAAAGCCTGAAACGAGCTTACGTGGCCCAATAAATGGGGAAGTGTTGCCCGGAGAGTGCAAGAGGCGAGTGCCCCTAGCACTGCTCTTTATAGGTAGCCGTAACTGAAATTGTTAATGATTAGTTATAATTAAAAAGCGATAATAAGAGAATAATTTAATAAACAGTAATAGGATAGAAAATAGGGGAATAGATTTAAGTTCTTAATTTTTCATTTTTAGCTTGTTCAAGAAAGTGGTCCAAAATAAGATATATGTCACATATCTTACAAGTTAAAAAAAAATTGATACTTTTTAGCATCAATTGACTAACATAACACTTTTACTTTTGGTCAAGAAATAAAGATGTTCCTATCTTTTCAGTTGGTGTAGGTATACAACAATCTATAAGGATGAAATGAACGGTCTGCTTCGGTTCAGAGGTATTGAATTCTGGGTTAGGACTGTTCACCTTCAATTTCAATGGGTTGCACGTTCGAGACCTACGAAATCTCTTTCCCCCTCCCCCAATTAACCCCGTAAATAATTACAAATTGTTAAAAAAAAAAAAATCTATAAGGACGAAATGGCAAGAGCAGAAAAAGGAAATTTCCATCGATAAGGCTTTAGGTTCCTTCCCTGCTTACAAATTCAAACCAGGCTGCCCAAGCAGTCCATCTTGCACATCATCGTTGAGTAAAAATCTGAACTTTAGAATCATGTGAAGACCACCAATTGGTTTTACTTGCTTTCTTGGGG